ATATTGTTTTATTTAATTCTTTCAGTAGTCCTATGAGGTGTACATTCTCATTAGCCATATATTTTATAGATAAAAAACTTAGAACCAGAGAATTTAAATGATTTTCTAACATTTATACATCAATCAAATCTACAACCTGAACATAATCTTATAATTCCAATTTTGTTTTCATTATACACAATGCTTCCTAACTAAAGGATATTTGTAAAACCTATTTATTCATTAAATGTATCTGTAGCATATATAACATTTAATTTTATATAATGTACCTTATTTGAATAAGTAAATTTTAAACTGTGTTTTAAAAATATGGCCTGTAAGGCGACAATTTATAAATGTTTATTGAGACTGAACACTAGTTCTTTAAAAAATATTATGCTATGAAGTTTAAGCTTATGTAGGATATGTACTATTCATTCTTTTACTGGTTTCATTGACTTTTTAAAGTCAGCCTGATACCAAAAATGCAATTTATTTAAATTTTCCATGTGCATGTACCATTTTATCTAACTACACAGAGTTCATTGCTTTGAGTTTTTCATTTGGATTGAATAAATATTATGTAGCAATAAACTGTTATATCCCATAGCAGCAGTACTCTACAGCTATAAAATGAGGCGAAGATATAGGCACATGTATTATTTATACATGTATTATTTATTATTTAGTTGAAGCAAATAAATATATTACACTTTTTGATGTTTACTCTTTATATCTTGGGAAATATTGAGAATACTCTAGGGGACTACTCTGTAGAGTATATGTGGCTATATTCTAATCTAGAAAGGTAAATATTTCTCAATATTCCCCAAGACATAAAGGCTTGAAAATATACGTAAGTGTCGCACTTGAGAATATACATACATGTGTACTTTATTATACACATCATGCATATGTCTACCTATGTTCCCTCTTTCCCATTAGGCCCTGGAACCAAGGGCACAATCTTGTTTTACTTACAGGATTTGTGGCTACCAAGGCCTGGTTGTTGGCCACAGCAGTGAGGTGAATGATTGTTACAACAGAGTTACAAACAAATGAGAAGAACAGATTTTTGTGTAAGGTAATCCTTTGGCAACTTAGGCTCCTAGAAAGCAAGAAAAACAAGTATGTTGACATAATGAAATTTTTATATTAATCATTATTCAAACGAGATACATTTCCAACTCATAGCAGGTGCTCCACTTTTGAAAGAATTTTTTTTCTCCCTAAGATCCACTCATTATGAAATCTTAATTAGGGAAAACACGTAAGTACTTAAACCTGGAGACAAATGAGTTGCTTCAATAGAAGTAGTATACACAGGGATAGAAAATTTGCTTGTCCAAGACCTCTATATGACTTCCTGCCTTAACTTCTGAACACAATGAACAGTTTAATTCATTTTGCAAACATTGAGATTTAGTAAAGTTAGATAAATGATCAAAACTTAGGCAGCTAATTAATTTGAACACTGTATTTGCTGTCAGATTCTCATGTGGATAATTCTTTTTACATTACACCATACATATTATTCTGTTTAAATATAACTACATGTTTTGTTGTATAATGGTGAGACACAGACCGGTCTGGAAAAAAATAACAATGTATTCAGAATAAATGAATTGATAAAAATGTAAACTTAGCAACCAATGAGATTTGCTCAACTTTACAGAATTTTTAAAATTTTTCAAAAAGTCAAAAATAGGACCACCTTTTACTAGAGTTCCTCTTATATAAAACAAAAGAGTTTATGTAGTTTGCATAGAAGTAGACTTTAAGAATAAACGTCATTAATGATAAGTGATGTCACTCTTAGATTGAATCCATCTCGACTCTAAGAAGATTGTGCACATATGACTACCTGCACTACCTCCTGCATAAAACATTTACTCAAAGGCTTATTATGGATAAAGTTTTAAAATAATAGCATGGGATCCACTAGAACCTGAATACTTAATGTCAAGTGTGAACTCATATGAAGGAAGACCTGAGGAATTATTTCATGACAGAGGCATAAAATTTCATGATATGTGTTTTTAAAAAAATGTGCAATTAATATGGTTAACCTATATAATCCACCATATATAATTCAAACCAAAGGCTTCTATTTTGGAAACTTTGTGATTTTTACCCAATTTTATCACTACATCTCTTTATCTTAAATAGACTGTGTGCCCAGGATATTAGAATTAGGATGGGGTGCCAAGGATTTCTATATTTTAAAAAAATGTAGTTGAGTATATTGCCTCTGCAATTGCCTTTCTTCCAACTATAGGTCTGTGATTCTATATATAGCTCTAGTAGTTAAAGAGCTGGAGGGATATTTAATCCAAATCAATATTTATAAATTGTCAATGTATGCCTTCTACAAGTCTTTTATGAAAGGATTCCTGGGCACGATGGCTCTTGCAATGATTCCTGAGTGTGTGTGACAGTCATATAACAATAAATATGTGAAATCCAGCTGGAATCCATCAAAATAGAAACAATTGGGACCAGCTAGTATTTTCATATTAAATAGTGATTTACTTTGGCTTGACGTTTTACAGTTTACAGGAATAGTAAGACAAGTAGTAATCAAACCTTATCTACAGATTATTGATGATATTCTATAGAAAAAACAAAATTTTGAATGTTTTGAACAAAGGAGTGGAATGATTTCTGCTATTACTTAGGGAAATTCAACACTGGGAGAAAGACATCCTACTTTTGATAAAATGCCACAGCAGTGACATATTACTTTGTTCATTGAGCATGAAGAGAATTAATGAATATCAGAAAAAAGTCTAGTAAGCAATGTTCTTTTCAAATTAGTTATATTATGTGTAGTTTGTTTCTGTAATTAATCACTGTTACATGATGGAAGTCATGAACATACAAAGTTTGTTCACATGGTCTTATTTTTCTATTATTATTATAATTATTTTGAGATGGAATCTTGCTCTGTTGCCCAGGATGTAGTCCAGTGGTATGATCTCGGCTCACTGCAACTTCTGCCTCCCTGGTTCAAGTGATTTTACTGCCTCAGCCTCCTGAGTAATGGGATTACAGGCATGCACCACCACACCCAGCTAATTTTTGTATTTTTAATAGAAACAGGTTTTACCATGTTGGCCAGGCATCTCGAACTCCTAACCTTGTGATCCGCCCACCTTGTCCTCACAAAGTCCTGGGATTACAGGCATTAGCCACAGCGCCTGGCCCACATGGTCTTATTTTAAAACGCCTGCTTTGAGCTTACCCTATGCCTATTGAGTGCCAAGTATTGTTTAGAGAGGAACTGCTTATCCATGCAAATATACAAGTTTTTAGTAATACAATATAACTAACTCAGCTACCATCACGGGAATAAAATAAAGCATTTTTCTTAACTGGGAAATTTTATCTTTTTCTGCTGAACACACATATATCTAAGTCCATTGGCTAAGACATATCTATAAACAACAAAATTTCATAGTTTTCAAAGTATGATGAAAAGACTGAGAAGGGTTGTTTAGACAGCAAATAAGATATAGTTGTAAGAAGTAAGTTGGAATAAACGAAAGCAAACATTAAAGAAGACTTTCAAAAATAGAACTAGTTGGCCATAGAAAAAGAATGAATTTCTGTCATTCACTGCAATATTGATGTAACTGGAGGACGCTATGTTAAATGAAATAAGCCAGGAACAGAAAGAAAGCCTTCATGCTCTCACTTATTTGTGAAAGCTTAAAAAAAGTTGATTGCATTGAAGGAGAAAGTAGAACTAGAGGCTTAAAGGTTAAGGGGAAGGTGGAGAGAGGGAGAAATTTGTTAAAGGATACAAAATTACAGCTAGATAAGAGGAATACATTCTAGAGTTCTATATCACTGTAGGATGACTTTAGTTGACAATGATATGCAGTTTCAAATTGCTAGAAGGATTTAAATATTGCATGATAACAAAAGTTAGAAAAAAAAAAAAAAGATAGCTAGAAGGAGGATATTGAATTTCCCCAAAACAAAGAAAGTGCAAATATTTGAGATGATGGATATGCTAATTATCCTGATCTAATCACTATATATTATAGATTGCTAAAAATCACTATTATCCCATAAATAGGTATAATTATTGTATGTCAGTTAAAAATGAAATAAATAGTAATACATGATAGAAAAGCTAAAAGATAGGAGGTAGGAACCTATAATACAAATATTTATATTTTAACTGTTTACATTAATAATATTCACATGTGTAAAGATTGGAAGGGAGTAAAATAAAATGCTAACTGTAGTTAGTTGAAAACAAATTTAATCCTCTTGTATACAGTTAAAGTTTAATACTCTTTGTATAAAGTTAAATGTCCTCTATAAGGGTCTGTATTTCTGTTCCTTTCGGAATTCCCTTTTTTGTAGCCCTGCTCCCACCTCAATTCATCTTGAACGGTAAGTACTTAAAAATGAGCCGCTGGTATATGTTTTCTTCCAAAAATGTTATTATTGTGAGTACAACCACACACGCACACACGTGCGCACGCACACACACACAAATGACTTCTTATTCTCTTATAGTGGGACAAAAGGATATAGCGTATTTCCCTTTTTAAGACCCAACAATATCATTATGGGCAAAGTTTTGAAATAATAGAATGAAATTCCCTTGAAATTGACTGACTATTTAATGCCAAGGTAAAACAAATTCTTAAGAAGATGCATTATTTCATTACAAAGACATTGAAGTTTTTTTAGAATATTTTAAACAATTATCCAAATAATGTGGTCAAACTATATAATCCACCCTATATAACTCAGACTAAATACTTCTGCTTTGGAAACTCTGATATCCAGGTTAGCTGCCCAAATTGTAGTAAACTAGACCATTACCACATCATTTCATTTTGTCTTGTGTAAATATGTCCTACTGTCTAAAGTACTAATCTTTTGCTTTAATTTCTTCCATTTCTACTTCCAGGCACTGTGCAACTTAAACAAATGCAGACAGATGCAAATTAACATATGGTTTCTATCAATGTCTAGTGGAAAAATGGCTCAGATTTTATTGATGATGCATATTGTTTTCTTCTAAGCATATTCATTAACACATGTAAGTAGATTGGTACAAATAAAAGCAACTCGTAAATGAAAACCAAAACCTTGTAATTGGTAAACATGATTTGTTCAAATGAAGCTCTAAAATAATTGTATGCTTTTTCAAATATTAACCTGCAACCAATTTTACCTACTTTAAAATTTTAAATATTCTTATTTTATCCAAAATAGTAAAAGCAATCATCTTGCAGCCTTAGAAAATGTTTACAAAAATTCTTTGCTTTCTTTGAATTTTATAATTTCCCTTTCTATGCCTGCATAACCGCAGAACAGAAAATGTGGTTTGTGGGTCCAGATTGCTTCTATTTCATATTTTTTACATATAATTATTTTAAAATGCTATTTCAATATGCAATTTTGGCAAGCAGACTTACAGAGGCAGTTGATGCTATTGTGTCAACAAAATAAATATACTTCATATGTAATGAAATAATCTCTTTCAGTTCAATTTTGGAACAGTTTTAGAAGAAAGTAGCATCAAGTCACTATGTGTAGTTCAGAAAGTGAATCTGAACTCTGCATTTATTGACAGTATGTCTTTGGATAAATTATTTAACATCTTGAATCTTTAATTTCCTCATCTATAATTTAGGGATAACAATTGTACCTCATAGGATTGGCTTGAGAGTTAGAGGAGATAAATCACTTAAAATCTTACCGTAACATCTAACCCATGATAAACACTCCACGTTAAGTTAGCTGTTTGTTTTAAACATAATTATCATATGGCTGATTTTAGTCAAATGCTCTAATGGGTTTTAGCTACAAATAATAAAGTAGCATTCAGGTTTACCTCAGTAATGTAAAACTTCCTCATATTAAAACAAATATGTTTTAAGTAACTCAATTAAACAAAAAAATAGTCATTTTTTCTTACCAAACAGTTTAGCATTAGACAGAATTTCCATATGATAAAGGGCAGTAGATAAAGCAACCTAAATTATCTTCCCAAGAAATTTCGTTTTTTCTGTAGATGTTGACAAATTATCAGGTTCACTTTCATGCAGATACCAAATGTTGCAGTATTCCATCTTCAAAGTTCTGCCACTAGTATGGACAATAACCTTGCCTCTGTCTTCCATTTGCTTTTGACATGAGCTAAAGATTTCCAAACTACTTTTCCCATTAGTAACTACGAGCAAAATGAAGCATGAAAGGAGAAAGTACAAGCAATATAAGAATAGCACAAAGTATTGTTTTCTTATTCTAGTTTATCTAATTTAATTCCCAAATCCTCAGATCTTTTCCGCAAAGAACACTAACAATATATCCACAAGAAAAGCCCTGTCAATCTGAACACTGCCACAAACAATAGGCAGAAAACAATACATATATTAAAAGAATCAGAAGTATGACTCTCTTTTGTCTACTCCATGGAAACTCTTAAGTTGGGGGAATCACATGTTTACATATGAGAAGTAGATATAACCTCTATCAATAGCTCTCTTTTGGAGGCTACTGGTCATCCAAATTAGATTATGGCAAATTAGAAAGAGTATATTTCTTTTTTTTCTTTCCTTTCAATTTTTTTTATTGCATTTTAGGTTTTGGGGTACATGTGAAGAGCATGCAAGATTGTTGCATAGGTATACACATGCAGTGTGATGTGCTGCCTTCCTCCCCATCACCTTTATCTGGCATTTCTCCCCATGCTATCTCTCCCCAACTCCCCACCCCCTGCTGTCCCTCCCCTATTTCCCCCCTACAGACCCCAGTGTGTGATGCTCCCCTCCCTGTGTCCATGTGTTCTGATTGTTCAACACCCACCTGTGAGTGAGAACATGCAGTGTTTGATTTTCTGTTCTTGTGTCAGTTTGCTGAGAATGATGGTTTCCAGGTTCATCCATTTCATCCACTACATACCAACATGCTCAATTAAAGTCCTGGAGGAGAAATGATTGTTCCTCCTCCATTATGTTCTCTCTTCTCCTGCCCTTGCCTTTCAGGACTGCTTATTTAATGCAATATTGGAGTATCAGGCTGCATAAAGAACAGCCATGTTCATTTTGTATGGTCAACTGGTTTTCTACCATTTGTGAACTGCTTTGGTGAGTGTGCTTTTCCTGGTCTTCCAGTGAGCAGGAAATCAAAAGAAGAAAAATCTTTCTGAATCCCTGAGATTCTTTGGCTCCAAAACCAACCAACTAAACAAAATATTTTAAGAGACAAAATTTATAATAATAGCAGCCACCATTTTTGAAACCCTTAGAATATCCCCAGCACAGAGATAAGCACGTTTAAGTCATTATCATATTTAACAACTCCTTGAAGTATTATTGTCTTTTAATAAAATGGAGGTAATTTTCTCAAGGTCACACTCTTATAAGTGATCTTTTGAGTTTGAATTTTGAAGTTCTCAAGGAAGCAATAAGGCTTCTGACTACTTTATTATCCATCTAGTCACTTGCTATTATTGCATAGTAATATTTTGGGCACTGTTATTAGAACTGGGGAAACAGTTGTGAATAATATAAAGAAAAACCCTGATCTCTTGTGACTCAAATTATAGTGGAGGGTAAATAGGCACATAAATTAAACAATGTAATCCCAGATAGTGGTGTATGCTTTTTAGAAATTAAAACAGGAGTAAGGGATACAAAAAGAATGCAGTAAGGGTGAGAAGACTACTTAACATACAACTGAAACAAGGTAATATAGAGGAGAGAAGTATGCCAAAGAGGGAAGACACCCTGAGTCCAAGCCCTGAGCTTAAAGTTTCTGAGGGATAAGAACAGGCCTTGTGACAGATTACAAGGTAAAAGTTCATGTTGGCTTTTTTCCCATTCTACAGAATAAGTAAATTAAATTCAAAGAAAGTAACTTGCTGAATGACTGTTTGATTCTGAAGTTCATATTCTTTTGTGTTATATAGCTTTTTAATAATTAAGGAAATTGTTTACTTTATTCTTTTTTTTAATTATCCCCATCTCTTTCATGTAAGACCTTCTTGGTTTTTGACATCTTAATGTTTTATCAGCAAATGTTAGCAGCATAATATCCACTCATTCTGGCTTTTCTTTTCCCTAAATGCTAAAAATATGCTACAGTTATCAGAGTGTACTTTGACTTTCTTCCCATATATGGTCATATCTGTGTGTATGATCTGGAAAAATAAGCTGTCTATAAGAATGGAAAACCCGATTGCAAAATATATGATGAATTTTAAGAGAAAGAATGTTATCTATTTCTGTTCTTTATTTCAAATAACAAAGTTTTAATCTATTCAAGTTATGATATAATTTTCATAATTTGTCATTCTATTCCCATGAAAATTTATTTATCCTTAAGTAGCACATATTTTAATTAGCTAAAACAGAAAAGATGAAAATCACTACTCAAAGTTTGCATATTTATCAAATATTTCATTAGGGATAAAAATATGCAACATTTAATGTGAATTTGTAGCTTTATATTTTAAATATATTGTTTAAAATAAGTCCAAAATATCTAAATCAATTACTGTATTTACTTTATATTTCCATACCTGGGACTCTTCTCCATAAGCCAGTAATAGCTATGACCTTATAGCAGAACAGGTTAATGTTAAAGCAAGTCCATTACTTCTTGCACTGCTCTGTCCTCATTCAAACTTTATACTCTATGTAGAAGTGCAATTATTTTATTATATAACTAAATGGATGTATTTTAAACATTTTTGCACCATCTCACATTATGGAATAAGAATATTTCACCTCTCACAACATTCAGTTTGAGGCGGATGGATTTTTATGTACACTGATTGATTAAAATTCATTAACTTGGAGATAGACTCCATAAGATCCAATAAAATATTTAAGAAAACCTATAGTTAAATAAATAGTATCTAATGTTAAGCTGAAGGAAACCTGAGACACAGACCACAGAATAGGATATATCTCAGGACCAGAGTATATAACAAATATACAATGAATAAATGAACATACCATGAGTTAAGAGAACAGTGGCGATGCTGAGGAGGCAGTGACAGGTATGCTATTCAGTGGACCCTAGATAACTCCTTTAGAACTCAGTCCTTGTCAGACCTCTGACAGTGCAGTTGTCAGGTTTTAAATAAATGAAAAGTGAAACTTGCAATTTGTCAAAACAGGTACAACATCAGAGTAATTAGCAGAGCAAACCCTATAAGTTTCAATTTAGGATTTCATTAATACTTATCTTTGTTTAAATATGGTTTAAAGATTAATCATGTGGAAGGCTGAGGCAGAAGAATCACTTGAACCTAAGAGGCAGAGATTGCAATGAGTCGAGATGGCACCATTGCACTTCAGCCTGCGTGACAGAGCTAGACTCTATCTCAAAAAAACAAACAAATAAACACACAAACAAAGATTAATCATGCACAATTTTCAGGAGAAAAGTTATAGCTTAAAGAAAAACTATACATGCTCTAATTCAAGAAAAATATGAAGAAACTAGAAATGAGATAAAAGTTCACAATATTGTTTAAATATATTCAGATGTGGTCTAAGAAAAAAATGAGAATTTTGGCCATTACTGAGAAGGAGAAATACAAGCACTAATAGGTTATTTTAATAAGTTACATTGAGAATGCTTTGGTTTACCAATTAGATAAAGGTTATTTTTCTGCATTTTATTTGGGTCTATGGCAAGTACCTACAAAAGACATTATTGTTTACATAGTTCCAAATATGCAACTTGGCTTTTAAATTGTTTGGGATCAGTGTCTGAATGTTAGCAAAGATGTTCTTTAAAAAAAATCTTTTTTTTCCTATAAAAGTTGGATAGATGTCATATGCTCTCTTTTCTGTGGAAAAACATGAAGGCTTTTTTTTTTTTTTGTCTAGTTTGTAAGTAAGAGCGAGATTTGCTCTGCTCTCTGATTTTAAACAGTAATTAAAACATAATTTGTAACTAATTTCAGTAAAGTTTATTTATTTGTTTTTTTATCTAAAGGGTTCCTCTTTGTTTTTCCAAGGATCATTATGAGTAAGAGTCATTGCCTCTCAGGGCTTGGCAAATCCTAAAGTTAGTTATGTCTCTTTCTCTTTTCCCCTCCCTCTCTGTTCCCTTTCTTTTTATCTCCTGCTCTGACTTGTTCTTTTAATTGGCTCTAATATAAAACTGAAGTATATCTGGTGAATACTGTTTCATGTTCTCTGTTTCTAAATCATGGATGAGTGGTAGACTTTTCTCTCTCTAAATAAAAAATAACAAACAGTACCCTAAATCAACTTTTTGTATGGTTCTTGGTTTTGATTAGGGTGGGTCAGTGACCTTCAGTTACCAAAGGAGAGGAAAAAAGTTTCCCATACTGAGTAAGCAAGAATAACTACAGTATGAGGAACTGGGTTAAGAAACAGAAAGGATCTGCTAATAGATATTTTTATACACAATGAATGATTTTATGTGAAACAGCTCCTCTAGGAATTGTTTTCAGGTTAGTTGGAAGAAAGTTAGTAATTTCTTTTGCCCCTGATTCTACAAGAACATACTTCATGAACCATTCAAATTCAGTATTTTCTGAGGTGGCCATACTCTTCTTTGGATCTAGCTGCAGTCTTTCATCTTGTTTTACACAGATGCTTCTATTGATTTGAATTTTAGAGTCTTAGTCTAATGCCTTTCTTTGTTGATGGAGACAAGGCCAGACAATTTTAAGGGACATGTCGAAGGTCACAGATAACACATGGGCAAGTCAGTCCTTAGATGTAAGCTTCAAAGCCAGTTCATGTCTTCATTTCTTAAAAATTTATTGAGTGCCTACTGTGTGCAAGATCCTATGCTAAGCCCTGAGATGTGTAAAGAAACAAGGTGGAAGTGACTCCTGCTCTCACAAAGCTAACTTTGTAACGTTATTTTCATTACTTCTAGTGGCAGATTCGGTAGACAGTTCTATGAAATAAATGTTGGAAGTATCTAAATTCAAAGGCTAAAAATATCTTAATATTGATTCAAAAATGGAGCAGGCTACATAGTATCTTCTGGTCATAAAAAAAACCTTATTACTTTTGACTGATTTACTTAACCATAGTTTTTTTCTAACAAAATTATTAGTTTGGTTTATAAAAATGTTCACTCAATGTTTACTTATTTTTCAACATGAATATTATAGCAATTTCTTTATAAATATGCTTCATTTAAAACTAGAACTTGTATTATTCAACTTTTTTTAAAGATCTTACTGGTATAACATGCCAACCAGGGCTAAATATTTATATTCAAACCTTTTAATGGACTAATAAGAAGTGAGAGCAATATGAATCATGTAAAACATTTTTGTATCAGATACTCTGCTTAATACTGCATCTCACTGATAACACTGCCATCATCTCACACCTTATAGCAAATCTTTGGTGTAGATACTAATACGATCTGCATAGTAAACGTACAACTGAGGATTAGAAAAAGGAAAGAACGTATTCCACACTACACAGCAAGTAAGTGACAAAGTGGAATTTGAGACCAATTCTGCCTGTCTAAAGAACACTCTCAGGCTGGGCACAGTGGCTCATGCTTATAATTCTAACAGTTTGGGAGGCTGAGGAGGCTGAGGGAGGAGGATCACTTGAGATCAAGAGTTTGAGACCAGCTGGCAATATAGTTAAACCCCATCTCTAAAGAAAAAAAAAATATTTAAAAATTATCTGTGTGTGGTAGTGTGTGCCTGTAGTCTTTGCTTCTTGGAAGGCTGGATGGGGGAGGATTGCTTGTGCCCAGGAGTCTGAGGCTGTAGTGAGCTATGATCGTATCACTGCACTTCAGCCAGGGTGACACAGTGAGAGCCTAGCTCTAAAACAAGAAAGAAAGAAAGAGTACATTCTCCTGTAATGACCTCTAGACATATAGAAAATTTTGAAATGGTATATATGAGTTTTTCTTGAAGAGGGTTTCTCAGGTTTTACCTAAGGCCTGAGAATTTATAATAATAAAGGAAAATTTGTAGTTTTGTTTCTTTCCTTTTCAAATTCTTCATTTTTAAAGATTTGTAGAGTCAATTAAAAAATTAAGTGAACTAGAACACAGATTAGGAGAAATCTTGAAATTGTTAATTAATTAGAAAATAAATAAAATTAGGTGTGAGACTAGACAATCTCTTCACTGCTTATGGCTTATAATTTCTACCTATTAAAGTTTTACCCATCATTGAAGTGTTTGTTTCAATGAGAGTATCACCTCAGGAATCTTCAGATTTTATGAGTTAGAATGGTTCTTTCCTTCCTCTGTGTTCCCACAGGTCTTTGTAGCCCCACAATAATACTCTTTTTTGTTGTTTTGTTTGTTTTGTATTTTACTTTGTATTACTATTACATATGAGTATTTCAGATGACTACGTAAATGTATTTTGAGTGCCTATATGATTGACATAGTCTAATTGAAAAATTAGTAACTCTTACTACTTATTGAGGGGGTTCCTAAATGCCAGGTAATATATGAGTCTACTTTGCCCAGTATTTTAAAAAAGCATCATGATCCGTTGCAAACACACGCACACACACACACACACACACACACACACACCCCTGAGGTTTATGTAAAGCAAAATCAGGGGAAGTCCATACTATTAGCAAGTAGTGATGGCAAGTTTGGAATACATACCATGTTTTAATCATTGCCTTATACTAAACATTGAAATTAAGTTATGTCTGAATTCAAGTGCATACCTCTCATACTAACTCATCATTGAAAAATTCTTTTTTTCTTTTCAGTTTGCTGTACAAAGTAAACAGTTAATTGTATTTTCAGTAAAAACTTCAACTAGAAGTAAGATAATTATTTGAAAACCTTATTTTTTCTTTTATATAAAGGTCACATATCTTATATTGACAAGACATTCATTTGCTTTAACAAAGTGTGGCCTATGTAGCATGCTATGCATCTTGTTTAAAAGCGTGGACATTTTAGTAAATAGCAAATGCATGTGTTTATTGCACGCAGTCATCTTTATTTTAAAAAATGTTATTTTTTCTAAAAAATGGCTCTATTTATATGGAAAACCTGAGGACAGTATTTGGGAGAACGAAATTTCTGGCCTCTCTTTTGGAATGAGGACTGTGCCTACAGGCTGTATCTTTAAAGCTAATAACTTAGTAAATATATACACAATACCTTTTTTTTTTGAGACAGGGTCTCGTTCCATCGCCAGGCACCAGGCTGGAGTGCAGTGGTGCAATCTCGGCTCACTGCAACCTCTGCTTCCCGGGTTCAAGCAGTTCTCCTGCCTCAGCCTCCCGAGTAGCTGGGACTACAGGTGCACACCACCACGCTCAGCTAATTTTTGTGTTTTTAGTAGACAGGGTTTCACCAAGTTGGCCAGGATGGTCTCGACTTGACCTCGTGATCCGCCCGCCTCGGCCTCCCAAAGTGCTGGGATTACAGGTGTGAGTCACCGCGACCGGCCTACAATATCATTTTTTAAAAAGCACGTCTCCCGAGGTGGGTGGATCACGAGGTCAAGAGATGGAGACCATCCTGGTCAACATGGTGAAACCCTGTCTCTACTAAAAATACAAAAAATTAGCTGGGCATGGTGGCGCATGCCTGTAATCCCAGCTACTCAGGAGGCTGAGGCAGGAGAATTGCCTGAACCCAGGAGGCGGAGGTTGCGGTGAGCCGAGATCGCGCCATTGCACTCCAGCCTGGGTAACATGAGTGAAACTCCGTCTCAAAAAAAAAAAAAAAAGCACGTCTCCATCGATGAAATAAACATTCGATTGTTTTAAATTTTAATCCTTCAATCAAAATTTAAAATTACTTGTGAATATCAGTTGAATAGTATTTGCTCTTGAATAAAACATACATAAATATAGATATAAAAATATTGATTGGGAGGCCGAGGCGGGTGGATCACGAGGTCAGGAGATCGAGACCATCCTGGTCAACATGGTGAAACCCCGTCTCTACTAAAAATACAAAAAATCAACTGGGCATGGTGGCACGTGCCTGTAATCCCAGCTACTCAGGAGGCTGAGGCAGGAGAATTGCCTGAACCCAGGAGGCGGAGGTTGTGGTGAGCCGAGATCGTGCCATTGCACTCCATCCTGGGTAACAAGAGCGAAACTCCGTCTCAAAAAAAAAAAAAATTATTGAACATCATTTTATTCAAGTCTTTGTCAATAAGAAATACAGTTTACATATGTAGATTGCTTTAATCTTGCAAAATACTTTAGCAAATACCAACGTCCCTGATACGAAGACTATATATTTTGATTAAAAAGATAACTCTTTCATTTTAATACTCTTTACTAAATTCCTATTTCACTCATAGATTCTTGGGCTTGGAAAGAGCATTAAAGATCCTCAGGTCCAGCTAAGAACCCAGTATAGATAAGCCATCTACTTCAACTTTCCTGATAGGTTAACAGTTAATTTCTCTCTGAAAACCCTGAGTGACAGGAAGGCCAATTATAAGGTTCCTTAGATTTTGTTTAGTTATATTTGTTTTTTAACTTTTTTATTGAGTTTTTTTTTTTAATCTGTTATATGTTATCAATTGTATTCTCAATTATAGTCATTTGGATTCTTGAAGTCATACATTGTGCCTTATATATTTTGTCCTTTTCTTAACAATCTTGGTATGGTAACTTGATGCCTTGATAGCTGATATTTTCTTCAATTTCTTCATTTGCTAAGCCAATTTTTGCTTTGCTCTTATGTAGTGAACAGGTAATAAGTGGTCTGATTAGAGATTTAAAATTGAGTGCTGTACATTTGTTGGTAATGGTTTGGCTTGCAGCATTGTTTTCACTTGGCAGCCCTACTATTGCCTCATTAGTTCACAGCAAGCATTTTCCATTAAATCTTAGACTCTTTCACATGCAAAAACATAGTTAATTTTGCATTTGACTTTAGGGAATTGGTGTAGGACTCTATTTATCTTTACCAAATTCAAACTTGTTTGGGACCATATGACTTAGAATTCTAGAAGACCACTGTCCTCCTTCTAGCTACTGGTTTTGGTAGGCAAATGTAATTGTCATATTTCCTAACTTTATCTTCTTCAAAAATTTAATGATCTTGGATATTTTGACTCCTGACATGCAAAATAAAAATAGACCATTTAATCTGAAGACTCTCAGCTGTATTAGTTTTTAATTTGCAGAGATAATGGTCTTCCAAATGTAAATTAAAATTTTACCCTATGTCTACTATCATTAATTGCAATTCTGGAAATATTACAATAAGTAATTCTGTAAGAATTCACTGAGGAAGTGATGCTAAAATTTAGATCTGAAAGATAAATACATTTAATTACACTAGGGAGGAGGCAAAGAGAATAAGCAGGGCACGTTAATAATTTTGATTTTATATGGGATACAATGGAAAGTCTAAAAATTGTAAAGCGAAGAATGGCAAAATCAGATCTATATTTGATCTAAATAATTGAAACTATTATTCTGGCTGCCTTGTTTCGAATTAAATGAAGATGGAAAATGAATTTACTAAGGCTAGATGAACAAGCCTGGTGGTGATGGCAGTAGTGATCAGCAAGTGGAATAGATTAAAAGGATTTCAAAAGGTTAAGTTTACAGGGTAAAAGGGAAGAGTGACAGAGAAGAAAAAGGAGAGAAATGTCCCATGGATTACTCTTAAATTTCTGACCAATGTAACTGGATTTCTGGTGGTGTCATTTGTGAAGATGGGTCACTCTGGAAGAAAACCAGCTTGGGTTAGAAGGAGGGAGAAGCTATGAATTTGTTTTGAACATGAGCATTGGGCATTTTGAGATATTTTTGAGATGATGTTTTTCAAGAGCCATAAAAAGATATATACCCTTTGACCAAGAAATCCAAAGACTCTGGGAATGTAGCCTAAGAAAATAGTACAAAATATGGGAAAAGTTATAGTTGAAAATGTCCATTGCAGTGTTTTTTAATTGAAAAAAATGAAAGCAATGTTAACACTCAAAAATAGAGAACTTATAAACTTTTGTACACCTAAATAAAAAATTATTTAGCTGCTCAAATGATTGTTTAGAAACTGTTTAGTAACATGTAAATTACTAATTATATAATTCTGTTATAAAAATAGTTAAAACATTTTAAATAGTATAATTAAAGCTAGAAACAATATGAAATAAAACTAGAAAATATAAGAAATTGCTCAATAGGATATTAGAATTATAGGTTTATATATATCTTCTTTGTTTAAAATTAGTAGAAGAAGGAACATGGAGGAAGAAGGAAGAGGAGGAGAAGGAAAAAGAAGAACAAGAAGAAGGAGAAGAAGAAAGAAGAAGAAGGAAAAGGAGAAGCAGCAGCGGTGGCAGTGGCAGTGACAGGAGCAGAAAAAGCAGAAGATGACGACAATGCTGATGAAGATACAATGAAACATAGCAACTTACTCTTGTCATACTGAATTCTATAACGACTGCTGATGATCAAAATTATGAAAACCATGTGAAGGCATAAAATAAGACATGCATGACTTAGAATTTAACTTTCTACAAATTTTAAATTGCTTGTTGATTGATTTGTTCAAAAAATTGGAGCTGACTCTTCCCCCTCAAAAAGAAGTGAATTACAAGTAAAATTGATAGTACAGTTAAACCTTTTTAATGATGTCCC